GTCCCCTGCATCGGCAGGCGGACTCTCAACCACTGCGCCACCAGGGAAGCCCGCCTTTTTTTAAAATTTTTATTTTCTATTGGAGTATGGTTGATTTACAATGTTGTGTTAGTTTCAGGTGTACAGAAAATTTATACATATGAAACTTTTATGTGGCAGAGTTAGATTAAAAACCCTTTTATTAAAATCCAGTATTTGTATCCACATTTGAAGACATTTACAGCAACTTCTGTATCTACAGAGAGTGAAGTTTGGGGGCCTTATTTTTAGTCTTTGAATCATGATTGTGTCCTAAGCGCTGCTCTCCACTCACAAATCGGGAAACGGACGTGCATGACCGCACTTGTTAATTCATCCCAGTGGAAACTTTTCCTAATTGCTTTTCCTAAATGGCAAATCATGGTGTGGTAGACAGCCCACCAAGTGGCAGGGAGGACAGAGGTCCTTGCTGTGCCCCTAGCTAGCAGTGGCCTCACACACACCCAGGGAAGGGGGGCGGCACTGGGCCAGCTGCCATCCCAGGCAGTGGTCCCTCCAGCATGGCCAGCAGATGCAGACTGGCTGCTGGTGAGCTGAGGGCTCATTGCCAGCTGCTGGGAGAGAAAGCGTGAGCCACAATGCAAACAAGCACGCCATTTAGCTGCTGTTTCCTCCGGCAGACATGTTTTTCTTAGCAAAACTTTCTCAGTGAAGGAAACAGTGTTGATTGATTTTCTGGCTCAAGCTCATCACAGACCAGCACACTAGACAGTGCTGCCCCAGGGGTCTTGAAGTCACTGACATGGTGGGTGAAACTGCTTGAGAATTAGTCACCCGCTTCATGTGGTCTTGGAGCCAGCTGCCGTAGCCCAAATTCCATTTTATCTAGAATGCTGTTACTGGGTCAGAACGTCTGCAAAGTTGCACATACTTTTCCACTTCTGGGTTTCTCTCATCACACATGTTCTCTTCTTACCTCCTTCCTCGCCATTTTTTCTGTTCTCACTCAGAGAGGAAAGTAAGAGCCACAGGGAGGTCTTCAAACTGCCCACCTCTCGGTCCCATTAAAAACCTCATTCGTTGCACCACTTGTTGGGTTTTTTCCTTCTAGCATCAGCTCTTTCATAAAATGACCAGCCTCTATAACAAAATTAAAAAAAGGATTTTCAAGGTTGGGGTGGACATCACCTTGGGTGTTAACACACAGTAGGGCAGCAAGCCCCTTTGTGCTGTCTTTTTACAGCCCGGCCACTGAGCTGTGATTTCAGCAGGCAACACACGGCAACTGTTCAGCTGCTCAGACAGGGCAGGCCGAGCCAGGTGGGGAGGGGGCCATTCGTCTTTGTGAGCACATCCACCAGCTGTGAGCATCACACATTGTGCGATAAAAGGCACTCAGCAAGCCACAGCCCCACACGCAGCCCAGCCACTGGGCAAATGGAATGCTGACTCACTCTGTCTTGTGTTAAAGGCTGGGAAGTTTCCTCCACCAGCCCTCCGCATTCTCTTGCCTTTTGCCACCGAAAAGCTATTACGGTGGCCCCTAGAGCTTTCTGTATCCTGCAGAAGAGAGGTGTCTGTCCCCAGAGCTCTTATAACTAAAAATAGAAACTTCAGAGGCTTTAAAAGCCATTGCATCCTTTCTGTCTCCATTGAAAAGCAGCAGGAAAAGTCAGTAGGTTGCAGTTAAATTTCTTCTGAACGTCAAAAGGATGAAGAAGTCGTGGGCTATTGAAAGGAGGCCTCGCCTCCACTAGACTGTGAACTGGTTTTGCTGTCCTATTCATGGAACCGTGATTTCTCACAGGCTAGCAGGCTGCGGAAAAGGATGTGGGTACCACTGAGTGGAGTAGGGGCTGCCTGTTGATTGGCTGTCATTTCACACTGGCCTGATTGCGTCATGAAAGTGTGTCACTGATTCAGCCAAACTGTATGCGAGTCTAGGTAATCCAAAGTATGATATGTTACATAAAATATGCCTTTATTTTATGGTGTTAAAGTCCCAGATTTACATTTTGTGTAAAGAGGCTAATAGGAAAGGAGGAGAAAGAAGTAAAGAAAGAGGAAGAAATTGTGTCAGCCCAAGGAGGGGGCCACACATCTGTCAGCCAGGATGGAACTATTGGGGAGACTGAGGCAGAAACTCATTGAGGGTCACAAGAAAACTCATCAGAAGTAAAAGATGTGCTCAATGAAGAGACATGAGATAGAGGGAAGAGTAGCTCCGGGCTTTGGGTGGGAATATAGTCATTTAGACACTAAACCTCTTAAAGGTCAGGGGCAGCTTGGCGGACATTTCATAACATCAGAGACAGAAGTTAAATTTGTTTAATTATCCCTGTACGAGCAACACCTTTGTAACATATACCTTCTATGGAACGAAATTAACAACTTTTCCTGCTTGACTTGGTTCTTTCTTTCACCAAAGAAAAGTTTCAAGTGTTTAAATTTTCAAGTCCGCCGGAGGTTACACGTGCCTTCCTGGCTGTAGACCAAACCCCAGAGGACAGCCCAGCCACCAGCATCAGGCTGCAGCATCCTGTCTCAGGTTTACCACCCTCTCCTCCCCCAGTTCTAGGGGACCCTGCTGTCCTCTTCTCTCAACTCTCATTGCTGCTCTCAATGTTTGTAGCATCCTCCCTCCACCCCCACCTGTCCCGTCCTGCTTACTCAGTGCTCTGGTCCTGCCTGACTCCCTCAGTGAAGACGTGTAAACCTCCAAATTTAATTGTTCGGCCCTTTGTGTTACCCATGATTCTGGGAGATAGCTCCATGAGATCCCTGTCACACGCTTTCTACAGTCCATTTTGTCGCGTCTCCTCTGCTGTTTTGTGAGCTCCTTGGAGGCAGGGAGGGTCTTATTTATCCTTGATCCTCGCGTCTGGCAGGTCTGAATGAATGAATGAATGAGTGAGTGCATATGTGAATAACAAGTGCTTATGTCGCGCTAGCCTCTGAAGCGCATGTCTTTCAGAAACTGCCGTGGACGAGGCCCCCTAGCTTTTAGCATCTCCCAAAACCAGGCTGTAAGATGGCGAGAGTCTAATTCATGCTACAGTAGAGTACTCCGGAGCGTACAGTGGTGGACCACTGTACCCACATTCAGTGTCCCAGATAGACCAGCCATTCTTCACGTGGGTTTCTACTCTAATTGATTGCAAAATAAATGGTAGTAATGATCCAGTAAAAGAGTGATACATTTTAGAGGAAATACGCATCTGAACATCACTTAAATGTAAGCCCACAGGAAGATTCCCAAGAACCGGGACCATATTAACTTGTCTATGTTATGGAAGATGAAGGCTTAGAAAGGGCTTTTCCACAATTTTACGTATTTTGAGTTACTTAAAGTTGCTAAGCAGTGCCTTAACAAGAACTCAAGAGATAAAGTAAGAGTTCTAAGTAAAATAAAAATTAGGTAAATGATAATAAAAGTTCACTTCTTAGCTCTCGTTCCACACCCCTTGAAAAACAGAAAGTTTGCACAAGCCTTTTGCATAAGTAAATACAATTTACTGCATGTTTCTGCTGGGGTTATTCAAAATCAGAAAGAATATTGAAGGCTACGGATTACTGATAACCACGTATTTGATCAAGTACCTGAAAACTGTAAAACTAAATGAGAATTCTTTGGTTTTTCAGAAAATTCAGATTTTAGTCTGTTGCCTAAGTATAAAAACACTGACAGAACGAATGAGTCTCTTTTGACAGTCCCTGTCACCTTCTCTTCTGGTCAGTCTCAGAATCAACTGATCCCATTTTATGCAAATTGAGGACAGTTTGAAGGCTATTTACATATGCTCATTAAATAAAACTTTCAGAGTTTGGAATATTTCATTACTATAGATATCGCAAAACATTTACCCAGAGAGTGCAATTTAAGGCAGAGACTTTTTATCCTATTGACGTAAATGTTTTGTTTTGTTTTGTTTTGTTTTGTTTTCTTGCGTTATGTGGGCCTCTCACTGTTGTGGCCTCTCCCATTTGCGGAGCACAGGCTCCGGACGCGCAGGCTCAGCGGCCATGGCCCACGGGCCCAGCCGATCCGCGGCATGTGGGATCCTCCCGAAACGGGGCACGAACCCGCGTCTCCTGCATCGGCAGGCGGACCCTCAAGCACTGCGCCACCAGGGAAGCCCTGTTTTGTTTTGTTTTGAATGAGAAATCTTTTAGACCCACAGGCTATCCTGAAAATATGAAATTGTCCACTGCTTAAATATTGCATTGCTGAAAACAAACTGACTCCGGATAAAAATCCTGAGAATGATTTTGCCACTTTCCTGACCTTCAGTGTCATCCTCTCTGACTGAGATTTTATTTAGAATGAATAACATTGCAGAAGACACGTGATTTCCATAAAATATGAACATTGGGTATTTGGGGATGTAATTAAATTTTAGAAACCTGAAGGATACTTTTAACTAGAGCACCACACCTCCACAATCCCCAATAATTCCAAGTAATTGAGGTATCATTACAATCTAGTATATGTTTCAGAGAAGAGCTCTTACAATGGGAAAATGGCTTAGTCATTTAAAAACAAAACTGCCTTATTGCCAGTGATCTTCATAGCAATGATTTAATAAACGGCAGACGTCACTGGACTTCTACATCCAAATCCCTCTTCCTCCAGGGAAAGGAATACCCCACTG